TTTATTTCAAAACAGATTTTTGTAATCTGCTTTCTATATCCTTTTAAATTCTGTAAAATCTGTGGTAATGTCTCCTAGATCTTGATATTGTAATTTAAAAAATGTATAATTGATATTGTGTAACAGGAAGAAACGGTCTAAAGGAGCAGGGGAAGTGGGAGGGGTAGGGGAAAGGAAAAAAGGGAAAAGAAAAAACATGAGAAAGGGAAAAAAATGGAAACAGTCTTTGCAAATAGGGAAGGGTGGAGCGGGGAAAGGGAGGGCAAGGGAAGGGGAAAAAAATAAGAACCAAGATACTCATGTAATGGTACAAGATTCCAATGATGAATATAACTGTATTTTATACTTAAAATGTACCAATAAACTTAATGGGGAAAAAAAAACAGTCCTTCCTACTTCCCACTGAAGGACAATTGTTAGTTCAGTTCTGAAATGCCATTATAGAGAACATTTTAAAATTTTCCAAAATTTTAAGATTTCTGAATTTTAAAATCATGTGTCCTTCAGAAGATGAATGTGATTACTTTCATAAAATCTTATACAAAGTTCTTGATTTTGAAATGGACTTAAATTCAATATTCCTTGTGAAACAAAGTTAACACTGGTATAGTTAGGAGAATGAAAGAAATATGAAATATTAGATATGGCAGAGAGAAATGAGATTCAGGAAAATGCAAAAAAATGCATTTCTTGTAAATGTTAGTCTTTTGAAAGAAAATTGTATTTAAAAATGTTTTGAATGTAAAGAGAAGCAAAATTCCATCTAAATTTTCAAAGTAATGAATCAGCCTTTTCAGCAAGTAAGCCAGTATTTATTATCTCATGCCCTTTGATGGCTTCAATGATGCTAATGATCCTAAATCTAGTAACTTCATTTTTCTAACACTAAAAGCCCAAGTGCCTATGAATAGTTTATCTAAATATCTCAAAGACAATTTAAACTCATCATGTGCATAATCTTCCTTGTTAAGTGTGTTTTATTTCCCATGTTTCCTACTCCATGCAAAGGGACTATTCATGTGGTTCCTAATGTGGAACTCACATCTTGTCAATCTGACCTCCACGACAGATATACTTCTCCCACTGATACTTTCACTATCCCCATACAGGTTTCACCATTGTTCTCTTAACTAGTGTCCCTGTCACTATTCTTACTTCCTTTGTAATTTATTTTTTATGCAGATTTACAATGCCAAGATACTTATCCTAAAATAATCAACTGTATCATTTCATTTACATCATTATAATGACCCTATCATTCGTTTTTCTGTCCCATCTCATCTTTTGCCCTCCTATATCTATCTCTTAGCAACCTAGTCTGCCATACTAAACTGTCAGGAAGTCTCAGGAAATCTCATGAAAGCCCCCAGTCTCCTGTAAACTCATTTACCTGTCTAATTACATTCTCATTATCTTTTCCCCTAAATCTTTTTCTGGCTTATTTCTAGTCATTTCTCAGTGAATACGAGTGGTGTCACATCTGGAAGTTTTCCTAGATCTTCATCCTCCCTTAACCCAACTCCCATGTTGGGCCAAGTGCGTTTCTGTCAAACTCCAGTAATATACTGTGTGTATGTCACTGTGGTACTTAACATATTCTATCATAGTAATTTCTTTATGTCCTTCCCTATTATATTCACCCTCAGTCTTTAATATAATACCTGGTACATGTCAAAAAATGTTTGCTAAAAGAATGGATGGATAGATTGATGAATAATGGGTCATGCGTCCTACTTCACAATCACAAAGGCAGCTTTAATGGAATGAAAGTTTGACCTCCCAGACCACCTGAAAATGTTTTTAAAAAGAAATTAGTCTCACTTCTTCATTCTGATATTTGAATTTACCAGTGAATATTAGCCACTAATTCACAGTAGAAAATCAATTTAAAATATTACCTAGTGAATATGCACAGATACTTTCTAAGACTATCTTATTTCAAAGTCAGAATTTAAGTTTTCAGCTCTCTAAAAGAACACTGAGAAAATACTATTATTTTATTCATATTCAAGTAAACCACAGTTTAATATTTAAATATTTCACTTAAGCATTTCTTGTCCACCACAGTTCTCAAAACATACTTTCATTGCCAAACTCTCTCCAAGGGATGCAATATTCTCAGATTTTTTGTCCAAACAAGCTTGCAGGCATTCCTTTTCTTTAGCCACATCATTGACAGCTCCACCTAGAATGCTGATTTCTTCTCGCTGTGCAATATTTTGCCTTGTAAAATTATCTAAATATGTAATCATAAAGGAGTTGTTTTAATAAAAATAAAATACTTATCCAGTTTAGACTGAAGCACTTTTCAAAGTTTCCCTATATTATTATAGTCAATGATTAAAAATAGAAGTACTGTATTACAAATAAAAAAAGGTTTTTGTTGTGATTAAAAACTGCAATGAATCATAAAATTCTAAATAGTTTATACACAGAAAAGCACAATTAATACCTCTGAATTAAAAAGTAAAGGAAAGCTAAGGGCTGGGGATATAGCTCAGTGGAGCCATGCCTGCCTGGCAAGCACAAGGTCCTGAGTTCAATTCCCGGTACCGAAAAAAAAAATAAATAAATAAAGGAAAGCTCTATAGGATAAGTTCTCAAAGTAGATTTACAGGTGTGGTGGGGAAGAGTGGGTGGATGGATGGAAGAGGTGGAATATTAAAACAACCTGTGGCCTTGGACCCCTTCATTTCCCCTCCTGACCCTCTAGCCTAGAATAACTGTTGTATATAAAGCTGGCAAGTAACAAAACAATAAAATATTAAATTAGCTTATCTTTAGAGTCAAATGTCTTCCAATATTCTGATTTTTTCCCCTAATTTTTCTAAAATTCCTAGGGAAAAAAATCATCCCAGGGAATCTGATTCTATTTTTCCTCTGAGAACTCGGGCAAGCCAATGGCAATGCTGAAAGCTGAAGTGATTGGTGTGGGACAGTGGTTTCAAACTACGGTTTCTCCATCAGCATCACCAACATCACCTGGCAAATGGAAGCTCTCAAACCCCCAGCCCAGCCCCAATGAACGAGAAACTCTGGGAGTTGTAACTGGGCCCAACAGTTAATGTTTTAGCAAGCCCATAGTGATTCTAATGTATGATGAAAGGTTAGAACTACTGGTCCAGAGTGGAGGTTGTAGGGTGTTAAGACTCTGGTACTGCCCCACTTCAGGGACTCTGGCCTCATAATCTTTATCAGCTTCCAGTGATTGTAACACACACCAAAGTTTGACAACCACTGGTTTGGTGCTCTACAAGGTCATCTCTGCTAGACCAGAACTTTGGATAATACCTGACCAGTTAATCCCTGCAAGGGCCATCAGACACAGTGCTGAGGGAGGTCAGACCATACTGTCCTGTGTTGCATGGCACTCGAGAATGTACTAGGCCTCTCTGCAGGCAGTACTGACGTTAAGGCAACCCACATGTGTGGGGTATTCTGACATCTGAGTTCATTCCTCCTGACAATCAATCCATGAATTTCTTAAAAACTTCTCTACCACTTTATTTTTTTGCTACCTTTTTTTTGGTACCAGGGATCAAACTCAGGTCCTTGCACTTGCGCAGCAGGCAGTGAAACCACTGAGCTAAATCCCCACCCTCTTGCTACCTTTTAACAGCCAAACTTCTCAAGAGACTTTTCTATTCTTTTCCACCTCTACTTCACTTCCCATTCATTCCTAAACTTCCACATCTAACACTCCATTCAAATATTCAATGTCATTCAAACATTTTTGGTGTAATGTGCCAAGTTCTATCAATATTTTTTTAATCCTCATCTTATTTCACTTCTGTGTGTTGTTCGTTTGTTTTTGATAGTCTCGCTGTGCAGTCCAGTCTGGCCTCAAACTCACAGTGATTCTCCTGCCTCAGTTCCTGAGCGCTGGGATTATAGGTGTTCATGCACCACCTTGCCCAACCTTCAATTCATTTCTGACAATTGATCACTCCCCCTTTTAAAAACACTTTGCTCTCTTGCCTTCCAAAATAACACTCACTTCTACGTTTTCTTCCTACTTCTTTTGAGTTCTTACTTGGTCCTGGATCCTCTTCTTATTCTCTATATTTTCTCTAGGTGATTTCATGGTTTTAAAATATCACTTATATGCTTATATGGCCCCAAAATATATTGGTTAGCTTAGATTTTTCTTCTGAGATACAAATGTATATATCTAACTGCTTACCTTGCATCTTGGTCTCAAAATATTTAAAAAATGAATTCTTCAACATTATCTTTTATAGTTCTTTTAATATTTTTTTTGTCTCAATAAATAGCAACTCCACCTATCTAACTGCTCATGCCAGTCATTTTTTGAACTACATAATAGAAAATGTTAAAACTTTTTCTCTGATTTAAAATAGGCTTTTTCAAGCTCAGTGGTGCCACTGCCTTCCTCGCAAGCACAAGGTCCCGAGTGCAATCCTCATCCCAAGTACCAAAAAAAAAAAAAAAGCTCTTTTATAGAGCTCAAAAAATTTTACCTTATAAGATTGTTATAACCATATTTGCATAAAGATCACCAATAAGAAACAAATAAAAAATTTTATAAAATTGACTTTTGATAAACCCAAGTAATATCATAGATATAAGCCAAATATTTGTATACTATATACCAAAAGTAATGAAACAGTTAAGGTGCTTCATTACAACTGCTATGAGCAAGCTGTAATATTATACAAAAAATTGCAAATTTGAAAGTGATCATATATTTAAAGTGTTGCTCCTTTGTTTAGCTATTTCTTCACTGACAAATTTTAAATCCTAATTAATTCTGGTCCTAAATTTAAGTTTAAAAAAAATCTTATTATAAAAAATGCATTTTCCACTATTTTTCATTTGTAAACTCTTACGTTAAAGACCTATTTCCAAGTTTACCTAAAAAATTCAGTTTACAAATTTCAGTTATAACTGAAGAGAACACGTTTTTTTACCAGATTAAAGAAAAATAATAGTAATATCAGGAAGAAAACTCACCAATTTTTTCATCCAAGCACATAATTTTCTCCTGAGTAAGCTGTAGCTCATACTTTTTCTTAGCAAGGTGTCGTTGAGTATCAGAAAGGTCTTTTTCTGTGTTTTCATATAAAAGTCTGCAAATATTTTAATCATAAAACTAATCCTCAAATTTTTATGTTTTGCCACCTTTTAATGTATCTAAAATCTAAAAATGTAGGATACTAATATTTACTTTTTAATTTATAAAACCACCCCATAGAAAATAAAGGATAAAAAAGGATCCTCAATCACTACTCCAACACGAGCTACTATTAGCATGTTGGCATTCATTATTCAATATTTTTTGCTATATACATTTTAAAGCTAACATACCATAAATTCAAAACTGAATATGATTTTTTTCACCTATACTTCTTCAATATTTTTAAGTCTTCCTATAGCCTTCCACATAATTATTTCCTGGCTAAAAAATATTACATGAATAATATTCACTTACTTCCTAGCAAACATAATCACTTACTTAACTATATATTAGATTCATTTCAGGTTTTCACTTTTATAAATAAATCTGTAATTAACAGCATTTCATTCATTCTAAAAACATTGATTAAGTGTCTCATATGCACCAAGCACTAGGTGTTGAAGAAGTTATGGTGAATCAGACTGTCACTGGTGCTTCCCTCACAGAGTTCACTGTCAATAATAAGTAAACAGATTTAATTTCTGGAAATATGGAAGACTACATAATCTGAAAGTTCTTTAACCACAAAATACTTAGATATATTGAATGTAATGTAAGACTCATCCTTTAAATGTACAGCAAAACTTGTTAAGAATTTGTAAGGAAAGTTCCCTGTGACTAAATTAGAGCAGTAAGACATATTAGTTATGGTTGGGGTTTAACTGTCTCGGTAGCCTGTGATCTTGAATTTTAACTTAGAAACAGAAAACAAGGCTACAGAGATGTTCACAACACAAGAATGGACTAAGATTTCTCACATTAAGCCACTGAGAGCCAGCTATACTATTAGTGAAAAGGTCAAACTACAGACCTTATCAATTATTGCTAAGCTCAGAGAAATAAAAGTTTTCCCTAGGAATTCTTAAATTCAAAGGAGGGAGGAGGGCAGAGGAAGGGGATGTGAAAAGAACTAAGATGTGTTATGTACATGTACCAACTTCCCACAATGAATGTAATTATGTACTGCAAGCATGTACTATTAAAAATAAAAATTAAAAAATAAAGTAAGGAATAGGACATTAAAAAAAGATACATAATACTAAATCAAGCTCATTTAGCATATAAAAGAAAGTAGGAGTAACCTTAGTATTAGGAAACAAGCACAACAAGCTAAATGAGTTGCAGGTTATCAAAGAGGGAAGAAAAGACAGTAGTAATATTTTCAAAACAAGATAAGAAATCAAATAAAATTTTGTCCCAGAATCTGCGACACTTGGCAAAACTTTGCTGGAAACATGCTGTCGACTAAGGCACAGAACTAAGGGCCTCAAAAAGGCTCGTTGAAAATGATCTCACAATTCAAAATTATAGAACACATTAACAACACAACCTTATGGGAGCAAAAAATATACAAACTAGATTACCAAGAACATCAAAGTATAGCAATATCAAACAGAAACCTTAAAACAGATTTAAGTACAAATACATAAGTAACAGATATAAATGAAAAAGAAATAATCAACACTGGAAAAACCAGAGAATTTCATAAATTAAACTATCATTAAAACTTCAAAAATAACAAAACTTAACAGACAAGTTAAAGAACAGAAGAGATAAAGCTGAAGAGAAAAAGAAAATTGTGAAAAGAATGAATCAGATAAAACTTCCTATAATAGAGCATGATAAAAAGAAAAGTACACAGTAAAGGTTAAGAGACATGAATGACAGAATGAGAAAGTTTAATATATATCTAATAGAAATTCCAGAAGGAAAGTATAAAGACAATATTCAAAGAGATAATGGCTAATAAAAGAGGAAATCTTACACTAAGAAGTATGAATCTGTATCTGTTAAGACAATTATAAACAGTGGAGAGTAAAGGGATTTCAAGGGAGGCCAGATTTTATACTTTACTCAAAATGATAAAATGTAACACCAGGAAAGTATAATATAAAATATAATGCTTAGAGCAATTACTGAAAAGATCTATATATTCAAAAGCACTACAGATATCAAAGTGGATTTTTTAAAAAGCCAAATAACCCAATAAAGACAGGGGGAAAAACCCACAGAAATGTAAAATGGGGAGAAAACAACCAAAGAATAACATGGGAGAATTGAGCCCTACTGGTAATTACACTAAATGCACATGGTCTACCTCATTTCTGATAGCTCAAACTAGACAATCAAAATGTCTCTCTCCAGGAAAATAAACAAATCGTGATATGTTCATACTATAGAATATTACTCAGCAATAAAAAGTAGTAAATTATTGATACAAAAATTTAGATAAGTCTTGCATTCTTCCGATTTTTCAATCTAATCTCAAAAATCATATCCATATGATTTCATTTATAATAGTCATGAAATTAAAAAAATTATACCATTGAAAAACAGTGCCAGATGTGAGGTATGGTGGCGGAAAGAGAGGCTATACAACTATAAAATGGTATGATGAGCATTTGAATGCTTTTCCCCTAAGATCTAGAACAAGACAAGGATGTCCATGCCCTTTGTCATTTCTATTCAACACTGTAATGAATGCTACAACCAGGGTAATAAGGCAAGAAAAAGACACCCAAATTAAGCAAGTAAATCTGTTCTTATTTTCAGATGACAAAATTGTCTATTTGGAAAATTCAATGGAATCTAGAAAAATGTAGAACACAAAGGTAAATTTAGCAAGGTACAGAATACAAGATCAATATATAAAAATCAATCGCAGCCTTTCTGGTTTCAGTCTCAACATGTAAAGATCTTGGAATCTGTCATTCCCATCCTTATAAGAGGAAAAAAATGAATGAACTGATAATCAAAGACTTCTCTTAGACACAGTAGTGATCTGAGTTTCAGGTTAAACCATTAGCCCTAAATCTGAAAAGACTGGCAAATCTAGAGCCACAGTCCAGATTTACTCATCTGGAGCAGAAGCTAATGGAAACATAAATGGTTATTTTCATTTAAATGATAATTTTCATGAATTACTGGTAGATAAGTTTGAAAAGCTCCTTCCAGGAGAGAAGCTCCTGAGGACCAGAGTCTTGAAGGAGATCCCACATTGCAGTGTGTTTTATCTTCAGGAACCCCACCAGGTTCTCAGGGTAAAGATCTTAAAACGATTCCTTTGTAGCTCTGACAAGGGAAAGGCAAGAGTAATTATGGTAAAATATGGCAGGAGCATTCTTCACATTAAATTCTTACTGTTTGAGTGAACAGACTTTTCCACAACCTTATAAAGACTGAAAGAAGACATTCCCTCTACCATAATTTAGTCCTCTCTACCTTCCTGTTTCACTAAGGAGATTTTTTTAAAAAGCTCTACTCTTGGAAAAACTCTTGTGAACATCACAGCTTCGAGGCACAGACCAACTAAGAGACTGAGATTTAAACATGAAATCTTTTAGCCTCTTTAATAAATGGTGCTGGAAAAATTGGACTTCAACTTGCCAAAGATTAAAACTAGACCTATATCTCTCACCATGCACTAAACTAAAATCAAAATGGATTAAAGATCTAAATATTAAAATAGAAACTCTGAACCAGTTGGAACAGAGGTTAGGTAGAACCCTTGAAGACATCGGTGTAGGAAAAGATTTTACGAACAAAACCTCAGTTGCCCGTGAACTAGCACAAACAATCAACAAATGGGATCTCTTCTTATTAAAAAGCTTCTGCACAGCAAGAGAAACCACCAGCAGTGTGAAGAGACAACCCACAATGTGGGAAAAAATCTTCACCTGCTCTTCCTCAGACAAAGGTCTACTATCTCGAATCTATAAAGAACTTAAAAAGATCAGACCTCCCAAATTTAAAGACCCAATCCAAAAATGGGCATCTGAAATGAACAGACATTTCTCAGACAAAGAAGTGGAAATAGCAAATAAATACATAAAAAAATGTTCAACGTCACTGGTCATTCGAGAGATGCAAATGAAAACAATGCTGAGATTCCACCTCACTCCAGAAAGAATGGCTGCTATCATGAAATCAACCAATAACAAATGCTGGTGGGGCTGTGGGGAAAGAGGAACCCTGCTCCACTGCTAGTGGGAGTGTAGACTGGTGCAAGCACTGTGGAAATCAGTATGGAGATACCTCAAAGAACTAGGACTGGAAATCCCATTTGACCCCGCTATTCCCCTGCTGGGGATCTTCCCCAAAGAATTAAAAGAATCATACCACGGTGACATATGTGCACCCATGTTCATAGCAGCACAGTTTGTAATAGCTAAAACTTGGAAACAGCCCAAATGCCCATCAACTGGAGACTGGATAAAGAAAATGTGGTTTTTTTATAAAATGGAGTACTACTCAGCCATAAAAAATGAGAAATTAGAGACATTTATAGCTAAGTAGATGCACATTGAGGCAATACTCTTAAGTGAAATAAATAGGACACAGATGTGTAAATACCAAATAGTTTCTCTGGTGTGAGAAACTGAAAGTGTAAATAAGGACTAAATGTATAATAGATCATGTGAAATAGGAAGAAAAGGGGCAAAGGGGAAGGTAGTGGGAGGGCTAAGGGAAAGGATAGAAGGGAATGGGATTAATATGAGAAAATGGAAAAATAGGAACAAAATTTTTGTAAATAGGGAGGGCTGGAGGGGTTGAAGGGAGGGCTGGGCAAGGGTGAAAAACAGGAACCAAGAGAGACTATGTAAAGGTGCAAATTTCCAATGATGAATGTCATTATATTGTATACCTAAAATGTACCAATGATTAGAATGAATAATCGATAATGTAAAACAGGAATAAAAGGTCCAAAGGGGTAGGGGTAGTGGGAGGCACAGGGGAAAGGAAAGAAGGGAAAGGAAAAAATGATGAGAAATGGAAAAAATGGAAATAAAGTCTTTGTGGATAGGGAAAGGTGGAGGACGTGAAGGGAGGGCTAGGAATGGGGAAAAAATAAGAACCAAGATGCATTATGTAAGGGTACAATTCCCAATGAGA